GACCATGGATCCTGGTTATAAAGGACCAAACTTGCATGTTATTCATAATTATTACTTGGCAAAACAGTTGATGAAGTGAAGATTTATGTTGAGAGTTATCGAGAGATTAAAAGAAAACTAGTTGCATATTAATGACTGATGGATAGACAAATCAAAAGAGGAGTATTTTAATTAAATTCTTAGTAAATTGTCCCAAAGAAACACTTTTTAAAAAAAATTGTGGATTTATCAAATGTCTCAAAGACCGCTAGATTGTTGCATCAATTGTTTAGAGATGTTGTTTTGTGTGTTAAGTAGAAAACATTGTGTATATGGTGACTAATAATGTTGCAAATTTTGTTGCTGCTAACAAGTTATTGATGGAAGAATTTCCTTTAATATTTTGGTCTTCTTGTGTTGCTCATTGCATTAACCTCATACTCTAGGACGTGGTTAAATTGCAGTCAATTTGTTCTATTATTGAGCATGCTTTTAGTATCACCAAGTACATTTACAATCATTGTTATCCATTGTATTTGATGAAAAAGTTCACTGGAGAAAAAGAAATACTTCATCTATCTCCTACTTGTTTTGCTATCAATTTCATTGCACTGCAAAACATTTTAGCTCATAAAGATGAGTTGAGAGATATAGTGACATCAAATGAATGGATCTCATCTGCTTATGCTAAAGATAGTGAAGGAAAAAAGTTTGTTATAAGTATGTTAAACTCTCTATTTTGGAAAGAATGTGCAATAATTATTGGAATGAGTAAACATTTAGTTCAAGTTCTATGAATGATTGATGGTGATAATAGACCTTTAATGAAATATTTATATAGTGCAAAAGAAGAAATGTTGATAAGATTTCAAAAGAGAAAGGATAGAGTGAAACTCTTTATAGACATTATCAATAATAGGTGAGATAGACAATTATATAGAAATCTTTGTGCAATGATATTTTGGTTGAATTCTTGATTCAATATGATGCAAATATAATGGATAAATATATAAGCACCATTTTCAGACTTTTAGATGTTATTGAGAAGCATGCATATAAAAATCTACTATTACAAAGTACGATTACAAGTGAGATGAAGTTGTTTACGAATGCTAAACATGACTTTGGTCTATCATCTCAATAAATAATCACACTCTTATACCTTTAGATATATAATTTTTATATTTAAAAATATTATTTGATATAATTTTACTTATTATTTTTTTTGTATAGATAAATGGTGGATAACATATGAAATTAATGTTCCAAATCTACAACATTTGGCCATATGAGTGTTTAGGCAAACTTGTAGTTCTTTGGGATATGAAAGAAATTAGAGTATTTTTGAACATATTCACTCCAAGAATAGAAATAGATTGGAGCACCAAAGGCTTAATAACCTTGTTTATGTCCACTGCAATCTAAGATTGAAACAAAAGTATTTTTTCCTTTTAATTCCTTATTTTATCTTATTTAGTAGTATTATTAATATTTATATTGTGTTTACCTTCACTTTTAACATATATATAAATTATTGAAAAGAAAGAAATTATGATCCAATTAATTTTGAGACAATTTGTAACATTGAAAATTGGATAGTGAAAGATGATCTGTTAGTTTCGACAACTAAAGAAGCTAAGCTCTATCAACAATGACCATACAAGATACTTTAAATGATGATCATTAATGATTGATTATTTAGTGATAAATATTATTTAAAATATAGTATTTTTTAATACATAATATTTATTTGTTAATTGTATTTTAAATGTAAATGTCATAAATATCAATGAGGTTGAAGATGATTGTGACAATGAAGTTTCAAAGGAGTATGTTGGTGTTTTATTAGATGTTAATGAGATTGACTCAATTTCATCAATATTTGATTTAAATTTTGCTCTTATGAATATCGAAGAACTTAATGTGTTTATTTAACAAAAGTGAATGTATTGTTAATTTAAAATTTATGTTTTTAGATGTTTTGTTTTAAATATTTTAAAATTTATATTTGATTTGTGTTTTGGATATTGAATTAAATTTATGTTGTTGGTTTAAAATTTAATTTAATTTATATAAGTGTTGCATTGTAACTAATTATGTGTTTTCTATAGGTGTTGTATTGTTTTTTTTTGTTGACTCGGGTCAACTTATCTGATATAGAATCCGATCATTAGACTGAGTCGACGATCAGGTTGGGTTTAAAAATTATGATAAAAAAGTTAATATTCAAAATACTATTAAGGATAATAATTTATTATTATTCACTTTTAATATAGAGATATTAAACATGTATGAGGTGAATATTTACTTTTAATATAAAAATAAAAAACATGTATGTGATAAATTTAAAGATGCCTAGAAACAACATTTTGAACTATAACTGCAAGCTTTTATAGTTCTAAAGATTCATCCTTATAAGAATCTAACCATTCAACTCAAGTTTTTTTATTATCCTTTGTAGTTTTAGCAGCCTCAATAGCGAACAATCTTTTTATATAATTGAATGAATCAAGTTATAAGTTAATTTGCACCTTTTACTTGTATCAGACACTATCATTTCTAAATATTGATATAATCTAATTTTAATGTAGGTATTAACCTTAAAATTAAGATTATAATGATAATGAAGATTCAAATAATAAGTTGTTGTATGTAAAGGTTTGTGAAGTTGAAGTTCTCATCTTGCATTAATAATATTTCATATATGTATATAACTACAAAATAATAATAAGAATATTAATATTAACATTAACATTAACATCAAATTAAATTAAATGATATAAAAGTGAAATAAACATTTTGCATTAACTTGTAGTAATAAATAAATAGTTAGTAAGATAGATAAATTGTACTAATTTTTTACATAACCAAAATTTATTTGTATATTCTTTTTTACTTAATCTATTGCTTAATATATAAAATAATTTATTTGTATATTCTTTTTTACTTAATTTATTGCTTAATATATAAAACTCATAGTTGGTTTCTCATCTGAATCAATTAATTGAAGAATCTTAACTAGATGATATGTTACCTTAATACATATAATAACATCATACCAAAACTTATTGTTTAATATACAACTTTGAATTCACTTCCCTTTTTCTATTTTTAGAAACCTATATAACTTCTACTGATTGGGACTAAACATTGTCATCAACTGTAGTTTACAATTACTTAAGCATCTAAGAGTTAAGTATGCAATAACAAACCAAATGGCAACAAGTCTAATCAAATCCTTTTCTTTTATAAAATGCCTTCGCATGAAAATAAATATAATTTTAAAATAAATATACGAGGTAATTCTCTTCTCCTTAGCAATAATTACTTAATGGATCTTTAATTTCTTCTTAAAATCTTCCAATATCAAATCTATATAATGGACAACATATGGTGTCCAAAATAATTCTTTACTCTTGCCCATCAACAATTATCCTGTTGCCTTGTTATTTATAGCACTATAAATAATTACTTGCATATCATTTTCCTTTACAATCCTCTCCACAATAGCTTTTAACATTTCAAATAGCTTATCAACAAGCTTTGATATATTTGAGGTATCCATCAATGAAAAAGAAATATTATTAACCAAAAAATTGCAAATGGAACATCTTTTCTTATTTTCCATCCATTAAACATTATTGAACAACCTTTTTTTTTTCATTCTAACTTGTACTCCTAAGGAAGTTTATTGTATGATTTACTTCTTTCTTCAAATACTTATCTCTAATATCATGGTAAGATGGAGGCTTAAAACACGATCTATGCTTCGCAATCAATTTAAGTGTCTTAACAAGCTTAGGGTTTTTCACATAATTAAATCAAATTGCACAAGTATAAACCTGATAATTTGTCAACATGTTTCTTTTGTAAGATATCCTTTTAGTAGTTAATTAATGATAGTTGGTGTGCTTCCACTCCCACTTATTGCTCATTTGTTTTTGTCCTCTTAACCAATTTATTTCCCTCCTTCCAAAAAAAATAAATAAAACCTTTTGTTTTAATAATGACCAACATGGTTTTCTAAGAAAAAAAGAAGGGAAAAACCTCTGGTTAAAGCTTCTTCGCATGCTATCTCATCACACGCACATCACCACCATAATGGAGGTGGTGAGATGCATTGAATATCATTTTAAAAGTTAGTATTTAGTGTTATTTGAGCATCATATACACCACTTAAAAAGTAAAGGTGGTGTTTGTTTAAAAGTTAGTATTTAGTGTTATTTGAGTATCATATACACCACTTAAAAAATAAGGGTGGTGTTTGTTTAGCACTAACTAGCTATTTTTTAATATATATATATATATATATATATATATATATATATATATATATATTCATTTACTCCCGGTTCCATTTGAGATTTACAACAAAACCTTATAAAAAAGATGCAAATACCCTGGCATGTAGTCCCCCAAAAAAAACAATCCAACATTTTTTCTAAAATTCAAAAGTAATTTTGTATTCTTACTATTTTAAAAAGAGAAAAAGGTAGAGAAGTCTCTTAATAAATGTAAATTGTTTTTCCCTTCCAAAAGCATGAATGTAACTTTATTGTTTGTTGTTTTAAAAAACAAAAGAACCCCATGCTTAAATATTTAAATTTTATATTTAAAAAAGCAAATTAATATTTATATTGTATAAAAAAATAAATAGATAATTTTATCCCAAATTATTTTTTTATTGACAAATATATTCATAGAAAAAAAAACCCTACCTCCATAAAAAAGCAAATTAATATTTATATTGTATCAAAAAAATAAATAGATAATTTTATCTCAAATTATTTTTTTATTAACAAATATATTCATAGAAAAAACAACCCTACCTCCTATTACATTACATGATTAATCAACTTTTTGTTTGATATGAACAATTTTATTTTTTATATTGTTCCAATCCTAGATAATACGTGGTTTGATGAACAGTGAAGGATTAAAAGCATTTAGGTTTTTTTTTAATGAAACAAAGTCACTTTATAAAAACAATTTTTATGTACAGATAGTGAGTACTATTTTTTCACCAACATAAACCACTTATTTTTCTGTTTTGGAAAGCAAAAACTGAAAGAGAAAATTGTAGAGATCCTCTGAGTCCAGATCTATTTGATGGATACGGTGGTCCTCCAATTGCAGACTTTGGGATGATGCAGACTTGGTATTTACCTTTCCTATATCTCAGTATCCCCCCAAACCTCCTCCCCCTCTTGCTTTCCATGTGCTTCAAGGGATGCAAAAAATTGTTTGCTGAAAATGGTCAAGTAGTTCATTATGGGGAAATGCCAGTGCTCAAGGGTTGGGATGATGGTGAAACCGTCTACAATGCTTCACCTTTCTCCACATTTTAGCTTTGTAGCTGCTCCAGTATGTGAAGTAACAGGTTTGGATTTTGCCTTATTAGGTAGATAGCATAGCATTTATTGTGTTCATGTGTCAATTTGCTCTTACTTAGCTCATCTTCTAATTAGGGTTGCAGTTGTCATGTCGATCATGTATGGTTTTAAACACTTCATATGCTGACTGAATTTACCGTGAATGATTGTGAACTTATTTATCTTCTGTAAAATTGCAGTGTGAGATATTTGGCTTCTTTGTCGATTTATATGATCATTCCAACACAACAAAGTGCTGAGCTTTCCCTGAATTAGCAGCTAAATATGCAAGATATCCCCCAAAGAAAATCCGTTGGTAAAAGATAACCAAGATTGGCCGATCGAGATCCTGATGGTGAGCATACGACTGCTTTACCTGATCAACCCTCCACATCCAAAATGGTAACTTCTATGACTGAAAGCTTGAATTTGCTATTCAATTGCTTGAAGCATGCATTATCTCGCTATGGTCAAGGATTTGGTGCTATAGCCCATTTAAGTGTGAGAGAAGGAATGTCACATGGAAAATGTTTGAAAGTCCCTTTTCCAATATATGTAGAAGAGCTTAAAACCAGTTAAAGCATTGAGCATTCCCAATTTAGCCAGGTCATCTGCAATGCCACACTTTTACATGGAACACATCTTGATATAGGTGATGATAATAACTTTCCAGGTTTTATTATTTTATGATTCTTAATCCATACATCACATATATAGATACATTTCTCTATAATGCACATTATTCTTGAGAATGATTGTTATCATTTTTTTCATTTCTGAGAATTTTCATGAAAATGTTATTGATAAGACGAAGAATGAAAGGTTTAGGTGACCTGTTGAACCAGATATACTAGTAGTATACTCAATAGAGCTGATGTATAATATCTTCTATGGAATAAATAATTAGCTCCTTCATTGTTTTTGACAAATTATCAAATTAAAATTTGTAGTTATATTGTTCTGAAATAATTACCATGCATATGTGACACTTCTTTGATTGAGGCTTTCTCAAGTAGAGTAAACGTTTTCCATGGAATTGCTTCTGATGACTTTCCTGTGGAAATTACGCAACATTTTCATACAGACCATGAGGTCTTACTATATCACAATAGGTGTATATGTCCAATGCTTAATTTTTCTTATGTTTTGAGAGCTTGCAGCCTAAAACTTGACCATTATAGACATAATTCACATTACTTGCTCGCCTGGTGGGTTTCTAGCAGACACTAGAGAAGTGAGGCATGCTCTAGACATGTGTTGATGGGATTTCATCTGTTGGCCTGGTTTCAGAATCTGCTCTTCCACCTCTTTCACTTCTGCTGTTATCCGCAAATTTTAAGCTTGCTTGATGTAGCCCTTTCTCCTTCTCCTCCGTATTCCATTCTGACAGATAGTACTCTTCCTCTGTAGCAACTGTTTTAGATGATGGACCACAAAACATTCCACCCCATTGTGGGAAATATACAAAACAAATTGGAAAAGTGGAGCATATAATCATGACACCCATGAGCGTTATCCCTGTTTCTTTTGAGTATTTGGATCCTTTGAAAAAAATTAGCTGAGTTAGAACTGCACCCAGATTTCCACCACCTCCAGTCATACCAGATATTAGCCCCAATGACCTGAACATAAGATATAAGAATGGAATCAGGAGGATTTTCTTAGAAAATGATATGCATTTAATTAATCTGTACAAGCAGATCCATGGATGTTGCTAGTAGAGATGGAAAATCAATAAACATGATGGTACTGGTATTATTAGAAGTCTCAACCAATGTTCACTCTCCTGTCTAGATCCAGTACATGTGCAAAATCCAAGAAAACCAAATAATAACAAAAAATAAATGGACATATAACATGGTGCCTACTCCATAAAACTTCACTATCAAATATTGGGTTTACAAGAACAAATTAATCACATACAAACACATCAGTACCCAAAACCCGAATTACACCAAAAAAATCACTCACAAGAAAGTACCACACTAATTCTTTTGGATAAAGGTTTTGACTACTGCTCTACTTTTTGGTTGCCACCACACACCATCTCTATTGGGTGCACACATAAACTAGCCACGACATATGCTATTTATACTAGCAACAAGGTTATTCTTTAGGAAAATATTTTTGTTTTCATTAGAAAACTACTTTAAGTCTAGCTTCAACAAGAAAGGTCCTTTTCCTAAACAAAATGCATCAGCAAATTCCATTCTTGTTCAGACAACTTGGTAGACAGATCTAGCAAGTTCAAGCATCAATGTTGTTTTGAAGGGAAGTCAACTGTTTTATTGACAACATCAATGACAACATGCTGATATCAGCACAACATTTGAGCTGTCAATTTAGTAGGAAAAAGTGTTTGGTTTTAACTGTGTTGAATTGGGTGAACCAAAAGTCTGCATATTGGAATAAGTGAGAATGACTATTTGTAATTAAATTAGCCAGGTGGTTATTAGTAAGTGACTAGTTAGGTTTTTGTGGTGTTCAGGATATGTAGTCCTTTGTAGTGTTGGGAATATGACAGAGAAAAATTTAGTTAATAAAACTAGTCTCCCCTTTGGTGAGAGTAGTGGGAGTCGGGTTGGAGTTGTGAGTGATGGAAATAATTATCTAGCTTGTTTCCAATCATGTTCATTGTTTATTAAGGCATGTGGACTGTATAGGTACATCACAGGAGAAAAGGAGACTAGCAGCTGGTGACTCACTATTCGATCAATGGGAGTTAGAAAACTCTCTAGTCATGTCTTTGCTCATCAACTCCATATAGATTTTGATTGCCCATGGTTATCTTTTATTGGATTCTTCTTAAAAAATCTGGAATGTTGCTTGCTAAATGTACTCATAATTGAGCAATGATCTACACTTTTATGAGTTGCAAAAAAAGATTCATGAAACCAAGCAATGTGATATGTTTGTAGCCCAATACTTTATTGAACTAAGTAGTTGGTGGCAGGAGTTTGACTTTTACTAGGATTTCTTGGCTGATTGTCTGAGTAATGCGGTAAAGTTTCAAAAACTAATTGATAAGGAATGTGTTTATAACTCTCTAGATGGGTTAAACATTAAAGTTCAAGTTTTAGGGAGAGAACCTTTCCCTTCCTTGAGGCAAACATATCCCCTTGTTCAATAAGAGAAAAGTAGGAGAAATGCAATGTTATTCATGAGAGGTTAACCATGATAGGTGACTCCAATCAAAATAAATTTAGAGGATTTACACATCTTATTGAACCTAGGTTACAAACAAAGAACAATTGAAGTGTGATTATTATAGACGAACCAAACATGCTAGAGACATACTCCAAAAGGATGAGGTGGGAAAAAATAGGTTTTCCTAGATCACAAGTACTTGTATCAGAGATAGCTGAGAGTCTAGTTTTTGATAGTCAATCAAACACCTCAACTCCGTCCAAGGAAGAAGATAAAACACTTAGGCCCTATTTGGTATTGCTTCTTAACCTGGTTTTTTTATTATTATTATCTAAAAAGAAGGTTGAGAAGAAATACCAAACATGCTTTTAGACATCTTAAAGCCAAGTTCAATATTTCTTGTTCATCCAACTTTGCTCATGCGTATATGTTAGTGATACCTTTTAGCTTTTAATTCTTCCAACATTTATGATTCTAATCCTTGGGTTATAAATTCAATAGGTAGTGATCATATGATTTAGTCTACAAATTTTTTTTTATCTTACAATCCTTACTCAGGTAAGGGTGAAGTTCATATATCTGATGGTTCCTAAGCTCCTATTTTTGGTAAAGGTTCAATCCAATATACTACTTTATTATTAACCTCAATTCTTCATGCTTCCAAGTTCTCTTCTAGTCTACTATCTATTAGTGAAAAGACTAAAGTTTTAAAGTGTAAAGTCTCATTCTATTTTACTCATTATGAGTTCAAGGACCTGAAACAAAAAGAAGAAGATTGACTATGGTTCAGTGGAAGATGGCTTATATTTGTTAAAATCTGGTTTTGTTGGTTTAGGAAACACAAATGGGTTCAAACATGGGTTGGTGACTATTTCTAACAATGTTGATCAATAATTACTATTATGGCATAATTAATTAGGGCATCCATCATTTATAGCTCTAAGAAAGCTTTTTCCAACACTATCTAAGCAATGTACTACAATAACCATATCTATAATGCTTGCAAATTTTTTATGCATATACGTGCTACTTATTTCTCAACTAATAATAATAGCAAACCTTTTAAGTTGATTCATTTAGATCTTTGGGGTCCTAGTCAAATTGTTTTCTTTTGTAGGTGGATTGTAACTTTTATTAATTGTTATAGTCATACTATTTAGTTTATTTGATGCATAATAAAAGTTAAGTGTTTTCTTACTTTAAGAGGTTTGATAACATACTCTACACTATTTAATGCTAAAGTTTAGATCTTGAGGAATGATAATGATACAAAGTACATGGATGAAGTTTTTCAAAGCTATATGATGGAACATTGGATTCAACATTGGGCTAGTTATGTAAATACACCAAATTAGAATGATGTAACAGAGTGAAAGAATAGACATTTACTAGGAGTTGCCAAATCTCTCATGTTCACAAGGAATTTTCCTAAAACCTATTATGGAGATGCAATTATGATTGCAATATATGTCATTAATAGGATACTAGTAAGAGTTCTTGAGTTCAGAAATCTAATAGAGTTCTTATAAGGAACATGTTCCTACTTGTCCCACCAAAAACTTTTGGGTTTGTTTGTTTTGTTCGAGATATGGACAAGCTATAAGGAAGTTGGATCATCAGGCATTAAATGTTTTATTGGATACTTTACTACTAAAAAAGAGTATAAATGTTATTATCCTCCAACTAGAAAAATGTTTGTTAGCATAGATGTAACTTTTTGTAAAAATAAGTAATATTTTGTCAACTCACACTTTAAGAGGGAAGTTAATGAGAGTGATGATATGTTCTTGGTATCCCCTACTCCTCTTTGAGACCATAATTGGATGGAGAAAATCAAGCAAAGATAAAGGAAGAAGATGAAAATTCGGTAAAAGTTGAGGAGTGATGAGGAACTAGGAGAGAAATAGTTTAGGACAATGATAGGGAAACTAGAAATGGAAAGAAGGAGAACGTTTGACAGGTTTATACTCTCAAGAAAAAAAAAAACAAAAGAAGTCAATCTACCATGCCATGCCATGAAACATCTTCAAATCCAACCTTACAACATACTCCTAATGTTAGGTTTCCTAACTCTTCCATTGAAAATGTTATTCCTTCTATTGATTATCTTCCTATAGCTTTTAGAAAAGGGGTTCGAAGTTATACTAAATATCCTTGATCTAATATTTTTTTCATATGATTGTTTATCGCCTTCATATAATGCTTTTGCATCCTTCTTTTCCTATAAGTCTATTCCTTGTAATTGGATGCAAGTTATTGAAAATTTTCGATGAAAAGAAGCTACGATAAAGGAAATGAGAGCTTTATAGAAAAATAACACATGAGAGCTCACTACTCTTCTTGGTGGAAAGAGAGTGACAGGTTATAAACGAGTTTTTTTATTAAGCAAACACAAGATGAAAATATTAATAAGTACAAGGCAAGGCTAGTTGTTAAGGGATATAATCAAACATATAGAATTGATTATCAGTAAATGTCTGCTCATGTTGCAAAAATGAACTAAATCAAGGTATTGTTATCTATTACAACAAAACTATGATTGGACCTGAAACAATTAGATATGACAAATGCTTTTTTATATGGTAACTTGTAGGAAAAAAATGTACTTGAAAATTCCTTCAGGTTTGTCTCGTGAGAAGACAAAGGGCAAGGTGTGGAGGTTGAGGAAAACTTTATATTGCCTTAAGAAATCTCCCCATGCATGGTTTGATAACAAAATCTAAGATAAATTTCCCAGTAAACTTGAAAGGTTAAAAAGGAGGGATATAATAAGAACTTTTGAAATTGTTCTTTATAAATATATGGCTCATGGTTGGCGATACAAGGAAAGAAAAGAAGAAAGAAACTTGAGAGATTTGAAAACCTTAGGATAAAAATAAGAAAATTAAAGGGAGAACTTGCAAATTGGTGAGAGACAAGTTGTCACAGCAACAAGGGGAGAAAAATGGATAAAAAGCTTGTTTCTCTTAGAAATTCTTCTTGATTATCTGTGATTTGAAAGTGAGAATCCTTTTTACTAAAAATAATTGTGTTTTTTTATAAGATTAAAGATGTGATAGTTAGGGTTTATAATTATGAGAAATTTAGTTTAATGAGTAGAAATGATGTTGATGAAGTTTTTGATTTAATTAGTGTTGATCTGATTTTTTATAAAAATAATTAAATCGGGGGAATAAGAATTTGTGATTTGATTAGGTGGTATGAGGATGAAGGCTAATGAAGTCATTTTTTCTTTGACATTGACATTTATTGATTAATTGTTCTTGGATAATAGAGAAGGCTAATGATGTCAATACGAGGATATTGATATTGACATTATTGATTAGTTATTCTTGGATAATAAAAAAGACTAATGATGTCAACACGAGGATATTGGCATCAACATTTATTGATTAGTCGTCCCTGAGAGATTATGAAATGCTAATGATGTCAACACTAGTATGTTGGTATTGACATTTATTAATTAGCTTACCAA